AAGGATTTGACGAGACCTCATTATAGCAGTGCACATTGCTAATGCTTGACTAAAACGGGGCATATTACAATGTTCCAATCAAGTGGTACAATTTAAGTCTCGAATTAAACCAGACATATACATATCTGATCGAATTGAACTAGACATATCTATCACAATGATCGAATCGAACGACACATATCTATCACTATGATCGAATCGACCGGTACTTATTATAGAGCTCCAATTATACGCGGCATATATTACGGTGTGCGAACTAAGCAGGCCTTAATATAATCAGTCACTATCTTAAACGTGTATATTACATTGCTTTAATAAAATCGGCCATGCTGTGATGTTCTGATGAAACGGGGCCTTTTGTTGAAATTAAACGGGTGCATTCAACAGAGCTTGAATTGAACGGGCATTCGGAGTCCACTTTACCTTCATTCCTTCCATGTCTGTTGATCCAGATCTAGAGCGCTAATAACGTTTATTGGCAAATTTTCTTTCGGAAATGTTCCAATGAATAAGAACCTGCACCACGTGATCTACACAATGGACCTCATTCACCAATCGTAAACAAACAACATTTAGCACGTGGTGCTTTATCTCTTCTATATAATTTACGATCTCATGTTTAATTCATTATGGTTGTCACGTGACAGTTTTTTCCCGTTATTTTATCAATAAGATCAGGTGAGTAAATGTTGTTTGTTTACGATTGGTGAATGAAGTCCAATGTTTCAAGTGAACATTGACGCGCTTGCAACTATTTCACCGCTGCTGATGACTTTGGGTCACTCCCTCTATAAACCTGACAAATGTTGCCCTACAAGGCTAATGACAGTTAATGTTGACAACGTCGATTGTAAGAATGAAAGAAAGAAAAAAAAAAACAAAAACAAACGAACATTTCGTCGCCCCGTTTCTCAGTAACTAAAGTCAATCTGTGCCCGGCCGTAGCCAAACAATGTTATCAGGGCGCCCGGTCCCCTTCCTACGCCCGACTGTGGTAACTGATCTGCTTGTTAGTATCCGCTGAAGCATCAAAAAACGCCCACATACACCAACTCATACACACATTCAAAATTTACGTCTGTGTCCTGTAATCTAGAAATGCCGGGCTTATAAACATCCCCCCCCCCATTCCCAGATCACAGATGGTTTCCTCCCCCCACATGCTCACCCCCCGGAGCCTCCCACTTATATTTTATGTTCACCCTTTCATCCCCCTTCCTCCTTTTTTTTTTTTAGATAACAGTCTCGACCGGAAATGGAAAAAAGCAAATCGCCCCTCCCTCCACCTTTCCTTTCCACCCAGCACTCTTTTCTACACACACACACACACACAAAATCTTCAGCTAGGTCGCTTCGCTTGTAGCAGTGGTTCACTATTTAGAACGTCCTGCGTCAGAGGTTATTAATCTTTTTTTTTTTCCAGATCTATATAGTTCGCATTCCCCCCCCCCCTTTCCAAATATTCTAGATAGACTAATCAGTTCGAAAACCATGTTCGTTTTTACCGGGGAAGAAATAACAAGCACTTTCATAGCACACAAAATTATGCACACATTAGAGCGATTTTTCACACATTGGCAAATTAGTTTTTATTAACTCTTTCTCTCCGTAATTATTTACCACATTCTGGTGGAATCAACGCTGGTATCGTTAGTTAGGAGAGAAAGAGTTAAGAATATAACTTTTTATGCAACAAGGGCCACTGACACTCTTCTTTCCAAAAAATCTGGCCACTAGATCAGATCTAGCAGCAGACATGGCACATTTCATTTTTTTAAAAATCTGATTTAGTAAGGGCTGCTTTGGCCTAGAAAGTTAGTGGGACATAGTTATCTTCATTGATAAAGGAACGTCTGTAATTTATAAGATAAGATAGTGAATAAGAGTAGAACTGTGGTTTAAAAAAAAAGTGAGTCGACTGAATGAATGTTGAATGGGAACTGGCAGAGATGAGAAGTAGATCTAGGTCTAGTTATTCAAGCCAAATTTACTTTTTCAAAACAGAGCTTGAGGTCTTGTGAATGGAGTGATGGAACTAAAGAAATCTAGCGGAGGCAGGAGAATGGCTGTTGGCTTTATGTAGCCAGTAGATAATATTGTTATAAACCTGGTGGTGGCACAGATGGGGGTAGTGGTACAGATGGGGGTAGTGGTGTGAGTGTAGTCAGCCGACGCAAATCGCCCCAGGCCAGCGCTACACGAGCGGTCAACCGTGACGAGTTACGACGTTCAGCCGAGTCGAGTGTCAACAGGACGGTTCGGGAAGGATCGTCGTCGTGAACAGAGCTCAGGGGCGTCACGAGAGATGTAATGTGACGAAGCTAAATGTTCCGTCCGGTTCTAGAAGGCCAGTAGGGACCCTATATAAAGAGCGGAGGTGTCCAGTCAAGACGGTTCAGAGCCCGGTTCACTACAGTCCTGTCGACTACAGCACAGTTCGGCGGTGTGGTTCTGTACGGAGCATTACGACGGTTCAGTGCGGAGTACTGTCAAGTACAGTTGAGACGACTGGCGTCTTGATTTTGGTCTGTGATCGAGTCGACACAACGAGCCTAGTGTGTGAAGTCAGTCCTGAACTGTTAAACACAGTGCAAGCCCGGAACGAGATGGAGAGGCCAGTGCAAGAGTTGATACGGCGGTACGGTGTTATCGGAGAGATATTTGTACAGTGTAGGTGCTGCCAATTGTACAGTATTGGCTGTTATTTATTCAACTATTAAAGTGTTATGTTACTCTGGAGCCCTGAGTTGTCAAGTTCTTTATGTTGGTGGTGTATGGTGCAGTTTGCATAGAGAACCTGGATAGTGAGATTCGTAACAATATGACACTTTTTCTAAGCAGTTTGTTGAGTTAAAGGAAAGCTTCAGTCTGGAATGATATTGGGGAAACTCCAAAAACACTTTAAAAAAACTAATTTCTGCTTGTTACATTTGCTACTAGATCTAAATGTCTCAACAACTAACACAATCGAGCTTGAAATGTATAGTTTTATTGAAGGAACTAAAAAGAAGCTACAGTGTTAGGAAAATAAATCATTGCTCAATAAGTTGTTGAAAAGAGGTGTTCACTTAAAAAATAGTATTTTAAAATATTTTTCTGGTTCAAATTTGAAAGTTATGCAGTCTACGAACTTATTATCCATCTGTTTGTTTGTGCATGGTTTCTGGAACATTTGCTTTCTGTTTTGGTACTGAAGCCATGAGCATTCAAAGGAATTTTAATTGTATTGCTGTGTTTTTTGGTGTTGCTTTTGGGTGATTCAAAAAGGTCTTATGGGAAATAACTTATTGAAAGTAAGTAGGTCACTGTTCTGAGTTAAATCATAATACTCTTTAAACAAGAAATAACACTGGGCAAAAAATTGCACAATGGACCTCATTCACCAATTGTAAACAAACAACATTTTGTCACATGGTTCTCTATATCTTCGATACAAATTACGCAATCCATAAAAACGTAATTTTCATTGTTTTATCAATATTATCATGTGGCTAAATGTTGTTTGTTTTGTTTACGATTGGTAAATGAGGTCCATTCCTTTTGTTTTGATTTCTGAACTTATAGCCATAAGACCTAGAACTAGTATTAAACGTACACATTTGTATATTATGAACTAAGTCTCTAACTGTGGATGCCATTCTGCATAGAAGATGTTTCTGTGCATCTTAGGGCCAGTGGCAGTTCCCAGCACCCTTGTTTGCACTCTTGCCCAAATGTTGCATTAGAAAATATTGCAATAAATCATCTCTTTTTTTTTTTAGCCTAAGACTTCAGTGTAGATAATAGGTTGGGACTCATTGTCAAGGAAACTTTTAACAAGTTTAAAATAAAAACAAAGCTTTTAATGAGGGGGGCACCATTCACTTGCTGCCACATCTCTCAATATTGCAAGTTAATCTGAGAATGGGGAAAAAGGGGGGGGGGGAGTGGAAACAATCCACACAGACAGCCAGATGGAGTGAGCTAATATAAACTTTCTTAAAATTATTATTTTTTTTATCTGACTCTAGTTTCTAGATATTGGTCGTGTGACCAGTATCGAGGTTAACAACAAGCCTGTGGAATTGGGCAAACAAGGCCAAGAGGTTTGTATCAAGATCTCTCCCATTCCTGGAGAGGCTCCCAAGATGTATGGACGTCATTTTGACGAAACAGATATGCTAGTTAGCAAGGTAAGCTTTTTTTTTCTTTCTGTAAATTTACTGCTTTGGGGGGGGGGGGGGGGGGGGGGGGGCGCAATAGTAGAAAACTTACGAGAATGAGTGGCATAATCCACTGGGCTAACTAAATGAATTGGTTTAAATTCGAATCCTTATTTAGACTTTTGAAATTTAACTTGGTTGCTAACAAATTGCAGAAACTTTCTCCCACTTAACCTCTACCCCCTCACCAAAAAAATAGGACCAGACTAACCTGAGCATGCTTTAAGATCTTGGAAGATGCCATATGAAAGCAATAATAATAGTAATCTTTATTATAAACATAAATAAAAAAAAAAAGAAAATGTAAGAGTAATTGAACAGGATCTTATAGGCTAAAACAGATCTGACTTTTCAAGATGGTTGAAACAAAGGATTATTTAATTTTTTTCAGAATAGATTTTACCTTAAGAATTGATTTTTGTTTTTAAAATACTTAAAACTCAAGCTAGAAGATAAGTGAGGATTTTCTAGTGACTTATTGAATTTTATTAATTATAACAGTTCTATCCAGTTAACTTGTGACTTGTGAATTAGTTTGTACCTCAGTAATAGAGGAAATGAAGCTTACATTTTGTTTGATCTGTCTCCAGATAACAAGACAGTCCATTGATGCTGTCAAAGATCATTTTAGGGATGAGATGTCTAAACAAGACTGGAGGCTGATGGTAGAGCTGAAGAAACAGTTTGACATTTTATGATCACAGTGGCACTGTGTCTCTCTCTCTCCATGCAATCTCTCTCCCCTAACATTTTTTTTTCCTCATTTGGGTTTGTAGTTTTTTTTTAACAATTCAAAACTTGTTGATTTCTGTTTGAAGTGACTCAGATGACAATGTCAGGATGCATTGGTTATCTCCAGAACATTCTTTTGAATATCGTGTCATGGTGAAGACACGACTTAGTATTGCAAGATGTCATTAATCTTATGGATCTGCTGTGGTATAGTTTTCATTCAACAAGTGTTTAGTGTCTTTGTAGCAGTTTGTATTAAGCAATTTGCAAGCAAATTATAAATGTACATTCTGTTTAAGGCTCAATATTTTGCTTTGTTTATAATATTCAACAAAAACATGACACTGTGTTGTTTTTTTTAAGTCATTGGATTTTAAGAAAGTTTCCTTTTTTTAATAAACTTTTTTAAAACAAAATTTATATTTGCCAAATGTATTTTGAGCCCAGGAAGTAATAATTTTTAGAAAGTTAGTTCCCAGCTTGCTCAGTATTACAAAACGTGCTAGAAAGAAACTGCTTTTCTGTAGCAAGAGACAAAAAAAAAGTTGTGGCTGCCTTTTTTTTTCCAATATGGTTTGAAGGGGAGATGAAATTAGTGAATGCTAAAAAAAAAAGAAAAGCTATTTGCACAACTCTTGTTTCTAATTATTTATGTAAACAAAAGAAAAAGCGAGTGTTCTTTGATATAGGGTAGTCTAGTCCTATATAACAAATCTCCTATAATATGCTTCATATTGTTTAAAAAATATTTATTAATATTGTTGTATGTGGCTATGGATATCTTTCAATTACTGAGATATAATTGTTATGACAGAATTTTGTTTGATTGTCCACACCTCTTATTTTAGGACATTGATAAGGAGGGTGCTGTTTATTATGAAATGATTTCATTTTTGTCCGTTATATTAATCCTAAATTGTTTTGTTGATTTCTATACATAGTAGTCAGGTTTATGAATGACAAAAAAAAGTGTTTTGCTTGTGTTTTTTTTTTGGATTGATTCTAGATGGAAAGAAAAAAAAAGGTTGAGTGCTCTAAGGGCATGTTTCTGACTTGATCAATGTAAAATATCTGAAAACAAAATATAAATATTGTGTATATAGAGGAACATGTGTTGTGTCTTGTTCATGATGTGTCTGCCAGGGCAGTGTTTCAATGTAGCCAGGTTTTGATTAGTAGATAACATGCAACCCTCTGAAAAAAAAAAGGGGGGGGGGGGGTTGTCATTCTCTAGTAGAGAAAATCTATGTTTGATTAACTTTCTGTTTTCTTTATTGAAAGTCAGGTTAACGTTATGGGAAATCAGAAGGTCCTAAAAATCCAGATGCCTGTGTTGAAATCAACATGATTCCAACTAGGAGACACCCATTAGAAAAATGGTTTAACAATTGAGGCCACCCTTATTGAATAAACTGGTAACAATTAAATTTCTTGACAATAATCTCTTTCATAAATTTGACAAAAAAGTAACAGAATAAGACATATCATCATTGACATGCATAGTACAGGGTAACAAAATAAAGCAAAAGAAGAAGAAGAAAAAAAAAAACAACACTATAAGTACGTTGAAGTGATTGTTACTTTGTATGAGGTAGTTTAAAGAATCTCCCCCCCCCCCCCTCTCCTCCATTTTGTTTGTTTGATATTGTCCTCCTTGACACTTGATCTTTCTTCTCGTACAAGCATATTTAGCAAGTGTTCAAGTCGACATTATGGAGGAAAAGAGAAAACTGGTAGGAGAGGGAGGGCTGCATTATCTCCCCTGGCCAGTAGTGCCATTAGGTCAGAAATGAAAGGCATTAAATTGCCCTCCAGGTACAAGTGGGGTCTACTGTGGAATTCTCTTGGGAGGTCTTCTTGATCCCCCTCCGTCGACTTAATCCTTTCTCTGTAGATATCTATATGTGTATATGTATTTAAAATCTCTTCTTCCAAGTGATGTGTCATGATGTGATTCTCTTCCCAGTCCATGTTTTCCATTCCGCCCCCACCCCCCATGCTTTGAGTATTGTTAAACATCTTGGGACTAAGCTTTGATCCAGCGCACCCAAACCCTTGTCATTGAGTAGAATGTATCTCGGCATGTTTTGTTTCATCTGTTGTTTCTCACTCTGAATGTTGTCCACGGTGTTACGTTCAGAACTCATGATGGTACATTGGCTCTGTGACATAAAATAAAGTCTTTCTTGAAGAATTTCTGTTTGGAGTCTTTTATATAGGTCTTAAGGGCAGGTTAGACTAAGGAAAATACGATTTATTTTTCAAAATTATGTCAATTGAGCTTTTACGTTAATTAGAAACTGTATCCAATTCTGAATAATAATCTGTAATTTTTTAGAAAAATATTAATAAATATTTTAAATATTTAAAATAAAAACATGACTAATGTTTGCTTTTGCCTCATTAAATATGCATAGACAGTGTCTAATTTTCAAAATACTAAAAAAATGTTTTCTAATTATCCGATTTTAAAAATTTTTTCACTGTTACAGTTCTTTTTTTTAAACAAGATACATTTTTTTAAAGCCTTATTTTAGTTAAAAGCTTCAATTTCATTGGTTGAAATTAAATGGATTCTTATATTATCTCTCTATCCAACCAATCAGAACGTTTCTTACAAAGCCTCTTTGGCAGCCATTTTGTTTACTATTTTTACCCACGTTTGTCGGTGCTCTGTGACACTGTTTATTTCTCTACATTATATTACTCTTGTATTCATTCAAGTGTGTTTTAGTTTATTGTAATTAATATTATTTAAATATAACAATGCCTAGACCACGCAAAGATCGTCCTAAGAAAAGGAAATTCCATGGTAATAGGTTTTTTAAAAAGCTTAGTCTAGATCTAGATGATCATGATACTGAAATTGAGTCTAGATCTAGCAAGACTGAAGTCAGTGAAATTCAACCTGTTTCTGAGGACATATTAGAGCTAGATCCAGTAAATCCTGATGCTACTAACACTGGAAATGTTCCTGAAAGTAGTTCATTTATTAAATTAAATGATAGTGTTCAACAGGACAACATTAATTTGGATGATATGACTGGATACCGCATGTTTGATGTGCAAATTTTATTGTGTTTTGTGAATCAATTTTCTTGCTCTAATTGTGAAAAGCATTGTGGTTTTCAAGCTACTGAAAGAAACACTGGACTTATCTGTACTATATCCTTTGTGTGCCTGGATTGCAAACATGTTTTCATGCTTCAAAGTTCTAAGGAAAATATAAATTTAAGGTTTCAACTGTCTATGTTTTCCATTGGATGCCATTATGAACAAGGTAACAAATTTCTAGCAAATAGGAACATGCCACCACCGGTAAGCATTACAAGAAGCAATTATTTTAGAAATAAAATATTAGAAGCCACTAAGACAGTTGCTACAAAATGCAAAATGCTGCGTAAGAATTCAAAGCTTCTCAGCCATCATTGGATGTCACTGTGTCGTGCAATGGAACATGGCAGAGCGTGGTTTCGTGTCAAAAAATGGAGTTGCAACTGTACTTTCTGTTAATCCTGGAGGTGCTCCTAAAGTAATAGACACATTTACCAGCAGTAACTATTGTGATAAATGTTGCAAAAGCAAAAAGAAACTTACTCCTGAACAGTTTGTAGCTTGGAAAGCAAACCACGCAGCTGAATGTGATGCTAATCACACAGGCTCTTCTGGTGCGATGGAATCACAAGGGATCCTACAAACTTTCCGACGTTCACAGATGTACAGCTTAAACTATACAGGCTATTTGGGAGATGGTGACTCAAAAAGCTATAAAACTGTTGCAGATGCAGATCCACCAATATACCCCGGTAAGATGATTGAAAAGTTGGAATGCTGCAGTCATGTACAGAAAAGAATGGGACGTGGACTTATGGACCTAAAGAATTCTAACAAAGGAAAAGTTTTTGAAGAAGATGGCAAACACTACAAAGGGATGGGAGGATTAAGGAGGCTTACTCAAGCAGCAATTCTAAGAATCCAGGGCCATTATGGTGGTGCCATTAGAAATAATACCAACAACCTTCTACAGATGAAAAAGGCAATTTGGGCAATTTGGAAACACAGGTGTGGAGACCACAGTGATTGCGGCCATTGGTGTCCAAAAGAACAAAACATAGCAGTGGCAAACAAAAATAAACTCCCCAAATATATTACTGATGCTATGAAACCAATATTTGAAGAGTTAACATCAGATGCACTGTTGCAAAAGTGTTTACATGGTGGCACGCAAAATGCTAACGAAAAGATGCCCCAAAAAACAATTTGTTGGAAGAAAAAGGCTTGAGATAGCTGTTCATGATGCAACAATTGTATATAATGATGGGGAACTTGGACGAAGGCAGATATTTCCACTTTTGGGATTACAATGCGGATATTATGCTGAAACATCATTTCGCACTGTGGACAAGAAAAGAATTTTGTCATCTTTAAATGCAAAAAATATATAAAAAATGACATCCAGGTGTAAAAAAAACATTCATTCAAATGCAGAGGATGCTAGGGATGAAGGATATTTACCAGGAGGCTTTTAATTGTAAGTTTTTGTTTTTATTATTCATAGATATTGTGGTTTTTCTTGATTTTCTCAAAATCTGCTTTTTCAAAATGTTTTGGTTGGTTTTGTCAACTTTCCACAAAAACTATGCTAGCTAGAGCTTTGAAATTTGGAAGTTTTGTTCTATGTCCATATTGAATCAAAACAAGCTACCAGAATTACAATCTATTAAGTAGTTTTAAAGTTATGGTCTCAATACTTACCCCTACCCCAACCAGTTTCGACAGTTTTATGGTTCCCACACTAAAAAATTAATTAAAAAAGTGTTCTCTCTGATTGTAATAATTGTAGATCAATGTGATTGGAATAACATGCTGAAGACACTGTGCAAATTTCATTTGAAAATATTTAATAGATACTAAAATATCTTGACATGTGTGTTCATGTATTTTTTTTAGGTTTTTAACTATTGTACCCTATTTTTGTGAAAAATTTCACTTTTTAAAGTTTTTTTTTTTTTTATAAATATTTTTTTCACTATTAAATGATCCATCCAAACATATAGACACTTAAATAGTGACAGATTTGTTGATATTTCAATTTGGGGGGTTTAACCTGCCCTTAAGTTTACTTGGTAGTGATTTTTGTTTGTTTGTTGCTGCATAGAAGGCCTCAACACTCACCAGCATCGTCGCAACCTGTGGGCAGTTCAGACCAGTAGCTCGTTGCCACGTCGTACATACCTGTGACGCGGCAACGAGCCATTGGTGTCCACGGCCCACAGTTGCGACGTTGCAGGTCCGTGTTAATGCCTTCTATGCCGATTGTGTTGTAGCGCTCAACGTTGGACACAATGGGCGCTAAACTAAAAGTCCACTGTTCGAATGTGGCTCGGCAGTAGCTTCGGAAATATTGTATGGTTTCCTCTCGCTTGTATAGTTAAAATTTTAACGTTGCTTTAGCGCTAATTAATTTTTTTTTTACCACGATATCCTAAAAGTCAATGCAGTAAAGGAAATAGAATAGGCTCCATAGAAAGGTGGGTTACAGTCAAAACACTGTAAAGGTTCTGCCCCTCTGAAGGTAAAGGAGTATGCCCCTAATCTTGTGAACACGATGATGTGTCATGATACTTAATCATACTTAACTCTTTCTTTCCGAAACGACGATACCAACGTTGATTCCACCAGAATGTGGTAAATAATTACGGAGAGAAAGAGTTAATGCATTTTGACTCAGTTTAAATGTCACATTGTTTCCTATTGGGTCTGCCACCACCCGACAGGGGACACTACTTTGTCTGCAATGTCTCATAATAGAGTTCCTGAAAAATAAAACTAGTAGGCCTTCATGATTTTTTAAAAGGGGTAACGAGCATACTTCTGATAGAAATCTCGTAATTAATGTCATGATTTCAAATACATCTCAAAACAACGGTTTTATCTACATCAGAGTGGGGAGGGGGGCGCAGGCCACGTGAAATTCTGCACTCATTCTTGTCGTTCTTAATTTTCTGAATCGAAGACAACACATTATTAACAATTGCGTAAAACAAAACTACACAATACGACATTAGCACATTATAAGGCTCAGATAAGCAGTACAGGGACAGAATTATAACGTTGAGTACGGTCTAACCTCAAAGATCGTAGAGTTGAATCGAGTCACGAACTTGCCGCCTTTAGTTTCGGCTAAACTTTCGGATTGTTCCGTAGGGTGTCAATTTTTTTTTATGGCCATCAACAACCATATGCTAAGTTTATTTTAGGTTTTCAACGATTTCACCGGCTGGTTAAACCTTTTCTGTTTGGACGTACGTTGCACAAACACACACTGCATAAATAAAATCTTTCGTGCGAATCTGTCGGCCGTGGCAGGCATCAGTCACAGGCTGTAAAAATACTGCGTCTATAGTTGGCATGTCGAATTGAATCGGGGGCGAACTGGGCTCACATGGGTCACATTTAGTGTTATTTTTTTTTTCAAAATGGAGGTTGCAGAATGGCGCCACGTTTGTAAAGAATATATTGAAAATTCTTTAAAATAGTTGAC